ACCTTAATATAACCGTGCGAAATTGCGTTGTAAGTCACAATATATCGGTAATAGCTAATTAGCCGTAATCCTATAATCGGTCAGGTTAGAAAATTACCCACTCGGGTCCTATTTGCGGTGGCCGCGATTAGACCCATAAAACTCGGTGCGATCTTGATAAGGGATGCGCGAATCGGCAACGTATACTGTGTGAAGTGCCAGAGTAATAAACATTCGTTTAAATTTATTGTCTAACTGTTGCAGATTAGGTGGGTATGTATGTGGTGTATTCATTCTGTGGTGTTTTGGTGGAATATCCGGTGTGAAGATATTTGTAGTAGCTACTTTATGTTGATAGGTTTAATTGGATAATTTTTTACGTGTCGATAATTAATTATCTCCCCAAGAAGTAACGATGTAAAGTAGCACTTAATGCCACTACAATGTAACAGGCACTTTTCACTATTTATGCTATGAGACCCATGTAATAGGGTCAGTCTATTGCTATTTAGCGAATACAATCCCAGACTCCGTGCTACTACTCAGAATTTTTTGGAAAACCCACTAGTACTTTGCCCAACTCGGGAATCTAACCCAAGACCCCGTACCCGGCAGTCGCACTTGCGACCACTCGGCCAATGAGGCAGTCAGGCAGATTTCGTAAACTCAATTCAAAAAAATAAGGATAGCCACAATTAGGTAATAATAAGCACATCGACATCTTTTCCCATTTAGATCCAACATTTAGATCAATATAGAAGAATTTATAATAAACTAAGTATATTGTCATTTAATTTGACGAAAAATAATAAACACCTAACCTTTTTATTCCTATTTCGTACTATTGATAACTTTTTCCAGTTACTATTCGAAATACCATCTCTACAAATACATCTCACGTCACATTCATTCGCCGCGAACTGTTTATAACTATCACGGAGTTTATTTAGACCGAACGTAAAATTTTAGACAACACACGTCGGAGTTGTAAAATTTTCACTAACTACCTTCCCATTGCGCATGATTTTTAGCCAAACTTTTGTACTAAACTCCGTTGAGACATCATTCAGCCATTTGAATGCATGCATATTCAAATATGTTGTTGGTTTTTGTTTTGGGAAGTTCACATTATTATTGTAGTTGTTTTGAAGGACCTAGCAAATATGAGTAAGTCTAAGTCTTTTTTTACTAAGGGGGGAAAATCATCGAATGTCTTCTCCCGCCTGGGTGAGGCGGGAGGGAGTGTCAGACTCTTACTGACTTAAAACCACCCCATTCCCTCTCCTGCACGTCGAGCCGGAGCCCCGGTAACCAGTTAGGTTCTCCGTGTTTAGTCAAAAACCACCCCGTACTCCTGACTAGTAAGAGTCTGACACAGTAAGCCTCACCCACTTATTAACTAGTCCGTCAGTTAGGTAACGAAAAACTATTAGACACGTGTTATTTTATTTTGTCATATAAGAACACAATATTTAGATAAAACGAATCAAAGTTTAGGAGTGGGAGCTAAAACGTAATTTCTACGTATAAAAATAGAAGTGACGTCACACATATTTCAAATAAATATATTGTCGAAAGTATTTGTTTGTGTAAGAAAATAAAAAATACGTATCTAATATTTTAAAATCTACCAGACGGACATTTAAATAAAAAATAGTCGTCTATCCTATTCAAACTAGCGACCAATACCCAGGTTATCAATCTGCCCTTGTGCCCAACAGTGGATATGCACTTCCATAGTTTATTTTTTTCAAAAGTCAAAAATTCAGCGTCATAACTAAATAACATTATTTTCGTTTCACACAATCCCCAATCTACGTCATACCTATAGTACAATCGCACACACTTGCACAGTATGTTTACAAGCAAGTGACGTCAGTGGTACGCACAAAACAAAGTGCTACAATTAAGTGCGACCCGCTTCGTCGGAGTTCAACAGTTTTTCCGTCGTAATTCTATTACATTATTAACTTACACCGTGTTAAGGAGCAGTGTTGGGTGTTGGATATTTCGGGGGATGTCGAAATTGTCGTGTTTTATCGATAGATCTAAAGAATAGTTTAAAGAGATGGTTTTAGAAAGAAATGAAAAAAGGCTATGTTTATTTCTTTTTAATAAATACACGTAAAATACATTGTGCATGCACTTTAGTCACGAATAAAAAAAAAATATTAATTTCACACTATATTTTTTATAGAGTTTCCAATCTCATTTACAAATTCATGTATATTTTTTAGGAAAACTCAACAATAGACACTCAACTTACTACATTGACGATTTTATCGATATCGACAGTGGATACTTACCCCGCCTTACCGCTACAAACTCTGCGGCGCGCGGCGGTCGCTCGTCGCGTTCACAAAGATCGCTAGCTGAAAACTTTTAATACTTTAACTTGACTTTCACTCAATTTCGCTTAACGCCTCCGTTGACACGCCTCGATGCCGCTGCGATATCGCCTTATAACTGTTTTACTATGACTTTATGGTGGAACTTCCAAGTTATATTTTCAAAAATTTAGGAAATTCTAGAGGATTTCATTTTGTGATGTTATGTTACTTAGATTTTTATGATATCTATTTGAATTTTTAGGATAGTACTTAATAATAATTTCTAAGTAATATTTACTGAATTATTAGGTCTTAATTCCAATCCACTAGTTAGAATTGTAGAGATTCATAATTATACAGAAAGTTTACAGTGCCCCAGTCCAATCCCTTCTGTAAGGGAATTCAAAACGCCCCAAAACCACGAAACAATCCCAATCGAAAGCCTAACTTAATAAAATACCAAAATAGATAGTCCCCAAAAAAAATTGCAAAAGACGAAACAAAATAAAACCCCATCACGACACGACAAATTGATGTCATCCATCCCTCTCTTACTAACAGTCGCAACATATCACTCGACGCACGTCCTCGGCATTTTTCCTCTATATATTATTAATACATAAGTACAATCCGATGCACCGTTCCCCCCTTCGCGTGATGTATAGCTCTGTCCTTTTCTATATTGTTGGGTCTAGTTTTCCCAAGCGACCGAACCCCGAGGGTAAAACTCCCTAGGGTCGGTATTGACTCTACTGTAGAAGGAAAGTTATCTGTACACCTATTGTCGACCACCCCCTCTCTTCCCATCCCAGTTTTCAGCCCGTTCCACCCTCGACTTTCTTATGCGTTTTACGTTTTATTTTTGAGAATGTTTTCTAGGCTCGAATTCATGTTGTTTTCATAGTCTACAATTTGAACTATAAATATCGTTCTTATCTGTACTAGTATAGAGGTACTTCTTTTCTTAACAATGAAATATTATCTTGTCCTTTTTTAAGTTATTGCTTTATATTGTTACCATAAGTACGTTATTTAAACTCAAAATGTTACCAATAAAGATAACATATGAAACGATTTTCCACAAAGCCAATTTCTATTAGTAACACGAGTCGAGCTTAACATAATTTAAGGTTAGGTGCACACCGGACGCTAATTTGGTAATGCGCAACATCGCCACGTGACCAACACGCGCGCCGACCGCCACGCGACAGATTGACACGACAAGACGATTTGTTCACTTAACTTGTTTATCGTGAGGGACAGACAAATATGCATAAGAATAAAAATGTCACTCCCGCCCTCTTTGTAATTCGATACTCAATCTCATTTTCATAATAAGGAATTATAATTGCTACTCGTGTTTTCCAACTAATGTTTTATTTGGAATCTTAGAATGCAACATATTTATGGTAAACTATTTTAAAGAAATAGCCTTTGACCCTCATTTTACTGATTAAAATCGTCACAATTGGATCATAGTCTAAATAGCTTAAAGACATCAATCACTAGAAATAATACCAAACCAAGAAAATAATTAATTACAGCACAATTAAGCAACTTCATCTAACGAAATATTAATTATTAATCTTCTAAAAATAGACATTAAAATCAATCAAATAGAAATCATGATTGCAATACAAATCCATACCTCTTCGTACAAATAAGTCCATCTTCACACCAATATGGAATGACATCCGGACGGACGCGTGCGACAGACGCGACACACGTGCGCCGCACACGACGTCAAACAACCACGACTAAACGCTCATTTAGATTATTGTAGCGTAATCTACTTAGTCGTATGGTATGTGTGCAACCTTATATTTTATAAGTGTTACTAGTTTTTTTTTGTTTTATTGATGCACTTTGATAATGCATCTCCTGTTACGAGAACATAACTAAGTTCAGAGTCGATTCAAAAATTCTGTATTTAAATATCGTGACAATATTAGTCAACAGACAAATATTTTTGGTGTCGTGCTTCCAAAGTAATTAAGTACCCATTTATTACAACACCCTTTCCAAGCCCAATATTAGATCACCATAATTAATTTAAATGTACAAAATTGTTCGTTGAAAACGGGCGAGTCCATTCTAATGCTAATTCAGTAGTAATACGATCTCAATTCTTTGCTAAGTACGATTAGGGGTAGAAATAAACCCATGCATTATCTAGTCAGGTTGAACAATAGGGAATATTATACACAAAAATTGTTAGTATAATATTTCAAGTGGGGTGCAAAATGTACCATGTGTGAAATCACAATAGTTTAAAAGTATGTTTTTGTTTGAGTCACATATTTATGAGTATGATGGATGCACCATGGACAGTCCAGTTGTAAATCTGGATAGGTTATTGTGATACTTGTACTCATCAATTATAAGCGAAATATATGGTTATAAATGTTGTGTTTGTTTATTTTGACAAATCCCTATTTCAAGTGCTCTTTGAAAGATTGTTTGAAAAATAGAGCCGAGTAAATGAAAATATCCACAGGATTTTTTCCATTTTGTCCTAGTGTGTAAATCTTATATTTTGTCATTTAGATATAACAATATACTGCTACATACTTTTATACAGAAAAGCCGTCCCTAAACAAATGAAGGTCTACATGTAAGTACAGTCAACGTCAATATTTACTTAATAAAAATAAAATTTAAATATCAATAAAAATGAAACAACTTTTAAATTATTTTAATTTAATCTCGTATTTCGTGATAATTTGTTTCATGAACGATTACAATTTACAATGTCTTATTTGATATACAGTTGCGTTAAACAATAATACGTCACTACATAATATATTCACGGAGTTTACCTCACAAAATACAATTCGTTTTGCGTGAATCTAAGCAAAGTGAGCCAGAGAAGAGATATTTTATTTTCGTATACATTTCATTTCGGCATCAGATTTTCATTTTCTTTCGTTGTACAATATTACATCCCAAATATCGTATTTACTGGATATGTATTGTTTCTAGATATGATCAATTCAAAATATTTCGATGTCCGAATCCGTAACCTAAGCGCGAACATAATCGAAACGCTATTCAAAATTTCAAAATCGAAAAATTTACACCGTTACATTAATTTTACATTAATTTAAAAATTTACAACGTCACTTACAATAAATATATCACAGATTTTACAAGAACAAAATCGACACACATACGGGTAAACGAAAACATAATCTTTTTACATGATATTAAAGTTTAAAATCGTCCTGAGCAGTTTAACGTTAGCCTTTGAATGTATATAAAATCTACCGCTACAGTTCAATCTAGCAACCAAACTATTGAATTTAATTTATTATCTTTAATATTTACATAAAAATTACAATTGTATTTACAATGCCGCCTTTCTAGATTCTTGGTTTTGATGACCCTTATTATATTAGGTATAGTCAGGAACAAAAGTTTTGAACAAATGAATAAAAGTAATGTTTCTTATTTCACTGAGAATAATTAAATTCATAATAACGAATAAACAATATGAAAACAAATAAACAATGTAACAAAATTTGCACTTACACCATTTTATCTCTAAAATCACCTGTAGACAGATTATAATAAAGTTTAAAATGTCTTATAATAGAAACTGACCATCACCATTGAAGGCCTGTGTTGTTGTGGGCTACTTGGAAGCGAGCGGGGCTGTCTGAGCGTATTGCTGAGCGCTGCAAGTCGGCAGCGAGAACGGATTGACACTGAACGGTGATGATACAAGACCACCCATTCCTGTGGACAATGAAAATACTTTAAAATTTCATTCTCGTAGTCTAGTCTCGTATAGAAACAAACGATTGCCGTTAATATTGAATCCAAAAAGTCGTTATTCAAAAGCAAATCACACTTTCACACAATACGTTGTGCGGTTCGTTGGAATAATTAGTAGGTAATATTCATTTAGCATCTTACAACTGTCAGTTAGTAAAAAAATTAATTATTTGTTTGAGTAGCTTAGACATAAAAATAAATACAAATGCACCTAACTTTTTATCAAGGGTTTTAAAATTATAATACGTACTATTGTCATGTGTTTTGTGCACAAGTGTACCAAAATATGGATAGGGTTAGCATTAGAAGGCAAATAAAAAAATACGCTAAAAATGCAAATAAAAAGCCAAACAAAACCAAATCGCAATACAAATAAAAAACAAAACTACTAACACTGGACGGCGAGGTGGTGCCAATTCTGATGATGCTCATTGGCAACGCGTGGCGGACTCTGCCTCACTACGGCAAAAGCGCTTCTCAGCTTAGTCTCTTTATTCTGAGCCCCTTTCATATCGCTGTCGGTGCATTTTGTATGAATGTTTACCGGACAGTCGTCCAGGCTTTTAGAATTCCCATTTCTTTCACTGTAATGTCCGCTATCTTTCGTGTTATACGCGTTATAGTGACGGTCAGATGATAAGTGTCCATTCATGTTCGCCGGATGGTACGGACCTAGAGACACTGGACGGGATAAAGAAAACAGGGGTTAACACAAAGCGACGTAAACAAACAGATGCCGTGCGAAGAAAGCGTTGGAACGTGAACTTAAACCTTGTTTGTATTGTTTAGCTCGAGATAAGCTAGGTTAGACATTGCAGTGAGTATAAGGTAGATGCATGTGTAATTTTATTTATAGAATTTTCTATTTTATTTTATTAGACAGTTTAGTAGTGTGATAATGTAATGATATTGACAAATTTAAGCAAATTATTTGTTAGGAATAGGACTTGAGTCTCCTAAAAATGATTTTAACAACATATAACGTAAAAGGCGTATAATAGAGCACCGCCAAGTGTAACTGTAACAAAGTTAAAACGTCATAATTGTATGTAGTTGGTACTCACGTGACGTGGTATTGAAGAGTGAGGTTGGCGGTGCGGGGTAGTGTTGTGGATGTGGGTAGGCGGCGGGCGCGGCGTGCGGCGTGGACGCGGCGGAGCAGTACCGCGGCGATACCGAGCCACCGCTGCGCGCGTACTCCTCTAAAAGAAAAAGCCTGGGATCAACACATAATGCTGTTAATTTTTGACTACACCTGCAGTAGCATTATTGTTTTGTGTCATTGAGTATTAACTTTAAAAGGGATTGTAATAAAAATATGTATTTAACTTTAGAATCTGTACCAAAAGTGTTAGAACCTAAATGTAAATGTTAACAATTGAATATGATCCATCGAATACTGTGGTAAACCGTAATTGGATTTTTAAATATTTTCAGAACCCACCTTCAGTCCACTGCGAGGCAGCAGTATCTTGGACACTGACAGCTAGTTGTCCTGTGTACGAATTGAAAGGCATGCTGGCTGGCGGTGATCGAGGCGCGCCAAGTCCTAATTGGTTGTTGCGAGGCATTGAGTACAGTGCCTCCGCCAAGTCCGCTGCTCGTTTTAGAATTATTTCCTGTGTGATAAATTGGGATTCATTACATCATGAAGCGTAATAATAGATGCTACCGGTTCAAAACAAAGAAAATCTTAATCGTGTTTTTTTCTTCAGTTTATTTTTGTTTTTTCTTTACACGTAGTTTAATTGTCTTTATTTTTAGTACTTATTAACATGATACATAAAATAAGGAAATAAATAAATAAATATGCACAATTTAAAAGCTTCTTGCTTAAACCATTTAGAGTTACTCTTCTCTACATCACCCAAAGGTCAGACTGGGAGAAAATGCCTGCGGCATTAAGTCCACCTTATGTACATTTTGTGCATGAAGCTTAAATAAAATAAACTTTAAGTTTAATTAATTTTATATTCTATATTTATTTATAATCTTCATGTTTTTTATGTATAACTTTGACAAAAAGTATAAAAAATACAAGGTCAAATTAAAACGAACCTTTGGTAATTTTTCCGGGTCGCCGGGATGTCTTGGTATAAGTTTTTGTAGCCTCTGAAAGCCGTAATCTATCGTTGGCTCGTTCAACGCTGCTATGCGAACAAGAGAAAAACAAAATCAATCATTAGTTGGCCCACTAACAAATGAAAGCCTAATTGATGGATTGTATAAGATTTTCCGATGCCCCCTAATTACTGATTATTTTCTACGAAAAAATTGGTCTGTAAATAATGAGATCTCCGGAACATGAAAGTATAACAAAAAATAGGACTGTTTTTCACTTTGCAAATATTAAACTTACAATTCCATGCCCTCATGAGTCATGAAAAGAGTTGCTACTTATACGGTTTAGTAACTAGCTTCTTGAGAGAAGTAGTATGTAAACAAAATTCAAAATTAGAGGTAGATCTAAAATAAGACTGCCTCGTTGGCCAAGTGGTCGCAAGTGCGACTGCCGGGCAAGGGGTCTCAGGTTCGATTCCCGGGTCGGGCAAAGTATCTCAGTAGTAGCACGGAGTCTGGAATATGGCAATAAGCTCACCCCCTATTACATGGGACTCATAACATAAATAGTGAAAAGTGGGTGTTACATTGTACAGTGGCAAAATGTGCACCTCTGCCTACCCCTTCGGGGATAAAAGGCGTGATGTTATGTTGTATCTAAAATAAGAGAAACTCCTACTAATTAAACGCAGACAGTATTTATACTCACAAACATAAACAAATCTTCCAGGCGCCCCTTTACAGAACTGCTTGCTCTTGTACGAGAGCGTCACTTCCACTACTCCGGGTATGTGACGCGGTGGGGTCTGCACTCTTATCGCATGCGATGTTATTAACTGATAAACAGAACATAATATTAATAATAATCTCATGCTTTGTTCAAAACGCAATAAATTTATTGCTAGTATCAAAAGACTTGGCTGACACACGTAATTCATGTTAATGCATGTAGAGTTTAAGTGAAAATCAACCTTATTTTTATCCCTTCAAAGTTCAAAATTAATAACTCACCTCGCTCCATACCAGCATAGTTCCGAATACTACTTGGAGTCCATCAAAGAAGTTGTCTCCAACTATGATGACTGTTGATCCCCCTGACGTCCAGCCTTCGCTCGGTGATATGGCCTTGATGCATGGCGTCGCTACTGGCAGAGGCGGATATAAACCTGCTGTCGAAAATATTTTATGTATTAACCTGAAGAAGTTTAAGACTAACCTACCTACTTATATTTTGTCCTATCAATCAATAATAATATCAAAATGTGATATCAAAATAATGATATCGGTATGAATATTATCAAAAAACTGATTCTCTGAAAGACTTTCGACTATCAGGCAACGATGAGTAAAAATAAATACGTATTGTTCGACTAACATGGTATCCTATTAGGGTACCACAAATACTTTCGCAACTCACGATGTCAAGCTTAAAATAGTTCCCTAACTTTCATATAAATAGCATTCAGGGTCGTAAATGGCATCTCCGTAGAACCGCGAAAGTAAGGGCTGAATTCTACAACAACTTAAAAGTTGAACGTCAAACCACTAAAACTCGCTCCGTCCTACTTGAACGTACACTTTAGACTGTTCTAGAAAAAGGACAATTGTATACCGTAAAAGTCACCGTGTAAGTGTCACTGATACAAGAAATAAGAGATCAGTGGAGATAATTGAAAAAGAATTTTAACTGTAAGTAATAAAGTTCGTTATAGAACACAGTTTCTTGGTCGTTATGACTTTGTCAGATGCCGTGAGTGCAAGGTTTAGGGGGACACGCGCTGAACAAGGGGGAAACTGAAATCTTGCGAACAACGTTGTAATAAAGACGGTAGAAAGTGAATTTAAGGGGACGAAAGGCGATTACTTCGGTGGTTCTTTTTTAATTTCACTAATATTATATTCTCCCCATTTAAGACGTTTTAATATTCCGTGAAAGGTCGTTGGTATCAAGTATTTATTACATACAGTTGTATATATAATCAATTCTTCGATGTTTTACAATATAGTAGACTGTAAAATACGTAACATGTGTTATATTATTTGTTTTGAAAAATATTGTTTAGATCTAAGAATAAAGAAAAAGTACCCAATACTCAAAGCATATTTTCCTCAAGACAAATACCTACTAATAAATGGAATGAATATTGGGCTGAGATACGTGCAAGTTTGTTATATTGACTATAGTTTATTTACTTTGGACTAACTCAAAAGTTCATAGTACAGTATCAGGCAAATTGTATTACAAACGTTACATACTTTGAAAATAAAAAAAAAACAATACGAAGTAGGAACATTTTTACGGAGTTAAAGTTACTTATAAATTTTCTCATTTGCACCGTGTAATCCCTTCGAGTCGGTTACGCGTCGTCTAGTCACTTCGCAAACTTTTACGCTCTCTTAATATGGAATAGGCTAATTTTATTTACGTTACAGTGTATGATTGTCTGACAATACTGGAAACTTAAACGTAGTATGTATTTGCGTGGTACTTAAGTAATGCACATTTTGGAATCGATTTGTGATTAGACTTTTATACACTTGATAACACGCATGATAAGTTTTCCAAATGAATTTGTTGTTTTTTTTATATATTTTTCGAGTTGTGCTTTTTTTCATACTTTAATAAAACTCATAACCTAAAAGTACAGCGACTTACAAAATTACCTTCGACTAAAAATAAAAAATCAAAAATCAAAATCACAAAATTTTAATAGGAGAAAATGATTTCAAACGCATGTACAAAGTTTGTGCGGAGCATAATTCCTCACTAAATTATCCCTATTCGCTTCATGTTCGCTTCAGCGCCCCCACCCCTGAAACACCCGGCTGAAGTTCTTTGCGAAATGTCTACAGTGATTCCTTGAATACAAACGACAGCTTAAAACGGTGTATTATGACTTTTGCACATTTATCATCAATTGACTGCTGAAATTCACACGTATTTACGGAAGTGCTGAAATATTACGTTACGGTACTCTACGTAACATGAAAACATCACGTATTTTTTAAATTATAGAATGTAATGCAAACAAAAAACAAAAACACCATGTATATCAGAAAAAAAATTAAAACAAAATATAAACTCCACCACTCACATTAATTAAAACGTTGAATGACATTAAAACACACACTAATATAAAGTGAAAAATACGTAAAAATACTATAATATTCACACATATAATTTCCTTATAGTGGCTGTTTAAATATCATTCAACAGAAAATAATAAAAAATAAACCATAAACGTACAAGTATTGTCTGTCGCGGCGTCTGTACCTTCGCTTGGGTCTAGTCGCTTTGCCCTCCGGCCATGCTTGCTGTTGTTGTGGACAAACATATTGTCTGATATCGCTAGGAGAGGACCGTCCACCATCACTTGAGTTGATATCACCACCTAGAACAAATTTTAAATGTTAAAACTATACTTTTGTATTTGTAGTAATGTTTATTCAATATTTTTTATTGAAAACCTTTTAAAGAAAATTGTTTTCTAATTACTAGACTTTTAAACTTTTATACATAGAACGAATTTTCTTCTAGTACATTTTTTATAGGTATTTAACGAAGACATTAAAAAAATCTGTTTAAGTAAATTTGTTTTATTTGTATAGAAACAATTTATTATCTGTGCCAATTTTAAATCCATATATTTTATTTTTGTACAACCAAAATTTTAGTACAACTAAAACCAAACGTACAGTCAACAGTCACGGAAATAAAACGCATGAAGATATACAACACGTCTACATTTCACACATGAAAACAAACGCCCGCATTCCGACACACACAGCGAAGGGAACCGAAAGGGAGAGTCCCTTGGGAGGTGGAGCCAATGTCTCGGGAGCGACGAAATGGACGAAACTCTTCCAATGGGTATGCAAGGAAGTGCATTGTGTGCCTGTGTGCGTATCAATATGGACGTGTGACGTGGGTGGCCGATTGATAGACGGCCATTGAATCGATTTTTTTGCGCGCACTGTACTTTGGGGTGTTGCCTGAAAATTCTGTTGGGTAAACAAATCGGTATTAGCTACCTGTGATGGTTTGTTTGTAGTCATTATTTTGTTTATTGGAGTTTTGGAAAAGTATTAGTATTACAGTACATACCTAAGTACATATGACACCTCAAACATCTAAATACACAAGTTTTATTAACTAAAACCATGGACAAAAAACCATCTTATCAAAGAGACATAAATAAAATACAAACTAATATTGAAAGACAAAATTTTAGTACAACTAAAACGTCGCCAAGTTTGACACGTAAATCACCTGGAATACAATATTCACGTCGATAAAGCGACTGCATTATTGCGATTCCGACACCCACCTATAAATATGTACGTAGTTGTATATTATACCCATATATTCTTACCCTTGAAACGGTGGGGAACGACCACTGAATTATTCAATGACACACAGAAAGCCCAAATATAGACATTACTACACACACGCACACATAGGACTTGTTAGTATTTCTGTTGCATATAGAAATGAACAATATGTGTTGAACGGTAAGTTCTATATTTGTTTAAAGTTGGCAAGAGGACACGTAAGACAAATATGTCTTAGACCAACTGTGGAAGCAAATTTGTACTCATAAGGAGACTGTGTGAATGCACCTTTTGGGTAGTTATGTTAGGGCTGCTACTAATTAGTTATATTATGAGATACGAGATTTTGTGGGGAAGTTATAATTGTGAAAAACGACTTTGTAGTTTGTGGTTGTAGTGTTGGAACTAAGTGAAAGCTGTTTTAAACATTTGAAGTTTCTCATTAAACTTTATTAAGGTGATTAGTAGTTGTAGTTTTATTTTAAGACACGAATAAGATTATAAAATCAAATAGAAGGACAATTCTTATAAACTCTTACATTTTATAGATAAAGCGTCAATTATATAAAGCAAATTCAAAGTAATTAAACAAGATAGATACGTAAATATCACGACTTATAAGCATAAGTCTTGTGCAAAATTTTAATTAACAACTTACAAACAACAAATCTATAAATAAAACAGCATAACCAATTAAAAAATACAATAAAAGGGCAAGCAAAGATCGGTTGAAAGTAAATAAATAAACTCGTATAAATAAATTTAATTTCATCCCTCCCTTAAATTGGAGGCGCTTCAAATATTCAAGAGTCGTGAACGCAACCCTTCCTACAGTTAAGGGCAATACAGACAGTTGTATGGTGCAAGGCAAATGACGATAGAAATCTTCTATCTGTTCCTTGGTATATGTTTAATTTAAATAAAAATAATAAACAAACAATTCCTGGCCGAAATATCATATTGATACGATGAGCTGGTTAAAAAAATACTAATTGCTTTATATTTTCTCAATTGGAACACAAAGGTATAGTTTGTTACTTTAATCAGGTAAGTTAAATCTAATTGCAATGAAATAGGGAATGCAGAAAATACTTCACAACCGAATCAGAAAAAAATATTGTTTATTTATCTTGTCAAAGTATACCTAATCGAGCAATTATATTATAAAATAAACTAACTCAAATAACCTAACAATTATTCTGAAGACTTTAATGTTCATATTTTTTTCCACTCTCTTCGGCTTATGACTTGAAACACAGTTTAGACAGACTCCAGTTGAGATCGCGGCAATTTTTCGCTACGTCTAGTAAACAAGTTACCATTGTCTTGTCGACAGCACATGACTAATTTAAAAGCTACCTAATGGTCAATTCTCTTATTCGTAGTTCGATTAATTTTTTTTGTTGAGTGAGTGTTTAGTCAATTCGTTGCAAGTACAGCTATCAAATAAAAGGTTTTCTGATGAGTTTCACGTAGAAAATCTTGAAAATGTCCCGGCGGTATGTGGCATAATGCTGAACATCTGGCTCACCATAAGACTGGTCAATTAACTGTTCAAGACATTTCTTTTCTTTTACAATCCACATTATTGTTTTAGTTACAATATCGTGAGTATAAGCCTCCAATAGCTTCCAGATCGGTCGACGAATAGAGATAATGGAATTAAAAAATCTTTATATACTTACTTGAAATCTTCTCATATCTCTAGGATTGCCGGCATTCTTCAAACAGTTCTGGTTACATTTTAGGAAGAACTTCAAGAAAAATCTGCAACAAAAACATTGTATTAAAAACTGTGAATATGAAAACTATTTTGTTAAAACTAAAGGTTTTTTTGTATTAAAATCTGTCACAAGTGCTCGTAAAATATCGACGGGCGTGTGAACAGATAATTTGCTGCAAATGAAGCGGATACATAAATCAAACGTCGACAACATATGAATATAGATACAATAGTTGATTTTATCATTATACGAAAACTGGTTTTATCATTCAAATAGTGTAGGGTTTTTCATACTACATTCAGCTTCATTTAAATAAGGACGAACTGTAATAATAAGAACACCCTGTAATTAATTGACTACAGTGATGCAATAACATTAATACTGTGTTAAACACGTAGATATAAAGAACCTAAAACATAAGCATACTAGGTATGGTGTATATCAATCGTCTAAATAGGTGATAAAACTCCAAACAATTTTAAAAAGATAAGCGAACTATTGATACATTTCAAACAAATTAAAAAAGAGTATATTAATACTGTTTATTTTTTTTAGAAGATAATATTAAACTTGTTGAATTGTTGAAAGTAAGAACAGGAGCAGCGATTACCTAACGTGTAGCTAAACATCATTAGTATCCAAATTACTTCTGAGAACTTCGACTGGCTCAAGTTCACCTACAAACTTCGCCAGCTGTTTCCACTTCTCAGTTACGCGAGCCACTTAAACACTACGAATTAATTTGTTTCTCGTGTTCACAAATTTGTATCTTCCGCTCTTCCGTTCAAACTATATTTTTTGCTCCATTGACGGCCACAATGTGTGAATGTGAACTTTACGACTTTTTCATTATTTTTTTTCACCATAAACGAAAAGTCGTGTGACGATTTAAAAAAGAATATGAAATAGACGTAAAAGAAAACAAAACGCGTACAAAGTGCGGACAGCTACCAAAATCGGACTTCATTTTAGGAAATAAAAGAATGCGGAATCTACGTTGTTTTATTGGCTGTCAAAACGAAACCTCGAAACGGAATCAAACAATTTCCAACGGAAAGTCTATCGGGCCAACTATCGGCATATCGGATTACACACAATAGTCGGACTTTGCAATTTTATTCCGAGTTCTTTGTTGGTGTAGAGTGGTCTTTATGTCGTCGTCGTACGGTCCAAAAGGGGTGATTATATAGGATGGTTGGTGCGTAATGTTGAGCGTACGATCAGGCGGGCGATCACGATGAATGCTTTAGCAGAAATATTTTACATAGCCTGAGGCACCGGCGATGCCGCCACGCCGAATATTGCTGTGCCAACACGTGTGGATTTAGTAGAGTTGTTAGACACCCCTAATGTATGTGATAAATTATTCGCGTCCATGAATCGTTCGCTTCTGTTTGGATTTAGAAATGTGTTTATTTTAATAATCTAAGATTCACACTGATACGACAAATGGCACATACTGAAACCTCCATTAGTTTTAGTTGGTAAACTTCTAAAAATCTGTCTAGTAGTCCTTTAAACATTTATGTATAAGCTACCTAACGACACTGCTACCTTTACCTATAACACAACAATCCAACTCTTGCAGATGTTCACATAATACACTACTTCAAAAGGCTAATTAGCTCCATAAATACTAGCTGATTGTCACCCATAATCGTAACAACAACTCCATACAAATAGTAAAAACGTATCGAGATATGAGCGGCGTTGGTACCGCGCGAACGTATTTGTGGTGCCCGCGGCGCCACACATCTGTTCCAGCATTATTTATGTTAAACACCTTATGTCACAATATTGCGAGTTACGACTTTACGAGTTTACGCCACTGTCAAACGACTTGCCGTGAATGGGGATTTTATTTTAAGAAATACAATAGGTTAGGCATAGTGTTCGATTGAAACGATCGCGACAGTCGCAAATTTGTGTTTTGTGTCAGCCTCACATATTAACGTCAACTGTTATACTTAGTTTTGATACAGTTATGTCCCTAAAGGATACACAAGAGCTCGTAGAATATCATAGTTTTATTTAAAGTTTCATAACTTTATATTCGTTTTTAAATGACAGGTATTTAAATAATTTGAATTTCTAATACTTTTGATGAATATTTTGGACGTAGGTATATATTTTGGCTCCTACACTTTTTACTCTGCAATAAATAATAACATGAAACATTTAGCTAAACACCCATATATTTCTTTTACCCCCAGTAAGACGTATCGTAAAAGTCCTCCCCTGGTCATCGAAAGCTCGCAACATTAATATCATTGTAAGGGCCACCTGACAGTTGCGTTATCCTATCGTATCGCTCTCGCAGTGACCGGTAAGCCGAAAAATTATTACCTTTACGTAAATAGAATGTGTGGGTCTTTTGATGGGGTATAAGATGGAAATTAAAAAGAACCACGACAAAAGTAAACAACCCAATATCATCAAACTTCGCACAAACTATTGAGGCTCATTTAGGCAAATCACTATTAATTCAGGCATTTAACTACTTAGCTATAAGTGGTTTTGAAGATAATGAAATAAATTTAACATGAACTCTTAAACAATTATTTGAAATAGTGTTTGTTTTCGAGTTCTGTTTGTTTACTTTTGTTAGATACATAATTGTAAAAATGTATCGGTACCTTAGATTAACAAGGTTAATAATTACGTTAACTATTATTTTAAAGCTACAAACAAGGAATCCAATTGTCCTAAAAAACTTTATAAATTTCTTTAAAAACTCTGATACATAATAACATGTACTAAGTATGTATGTCTCCCCACTATTCGATGGAAAAAATCTAGTACGGCATTAAGTCGCGGCAAAGAGCCGAGCGAGTAGGTTGCCCTCTTTCAAGTCGAGTCAGAACACTTGACTACCCCCTCCCCACACCACCAACCAAGCATAGACTATGTTTATTTGCATCGAATATTTCTTCAAATAAATATTTGAAAAAAAAATCCTTTTAAATTATTTCTTGAAGAACTCTTGAGGTTGCCTTGTGAAAGTGATGTCATTTATTCAAGAAGTTTACTTTTTTATGTTGTGATAAAGTTTTCAACGGTTTATTTCGTATTACAAGTTTTGTTCTAAATGGAATTTATGAATCATCGAATCTTCAAAGACCAGTTGACATTTGTCCAAAGTCGTGACATTTTATATTAACCAATTCAACTAAAAATAATACATAACTGCAAAGTGTAGTTAATAAAAATGCCCATTGATAAGTCTTCATAATTTTCAGAAACTAGCCTAACCATAACGCCAAGAAAACGCGACGCCAAAGAAAAAATTCGCTAAACCGCATACGAAAATCGAACTACGCAGATCCGACAACAAGCGGTCTCTTATAACTTTTCCCTTTTAACCTTTCGTCTCCCCCTGCAACCCGCGGCCCGCGGCCCGTCGCCGGCTCCCTCGGGAGGCGGTCCCCAGGGCCGGCATCGACTCCCCTGGTGCGCCCCACCCCTGCCACCACTCAATACCGACACGCCAAGCGGACGCCAAAGATTAAGCAGGTGAAAGGTGGTTCAATATGATTTGTGATTTGTGTCAAATAGTTGAAGAGTTGTTTGGAATGTTGTGAATATTTTTGTGTGGTAGCTGTTAGTTCAGAGGTGGACAAGTTACTAATACTTGTTTCTCTTTAAACTTAAATGTATAGGTCAGTGAAAATGGGACCAGAATTACCTCTGATTTAAGAAAAAGCTGGCTACATATTTAGGATTCTTCTATCAAGATATTACCAGATCATAGATTATTTAAACAGAAATCTAAAAATCGAACACTGCGAGCTTGCTATTAAAATAATGATTACCGGCCCAATCAAGAACTACTTCTTATCACCACTAGTGGACAATAAAATCACACTAGTACCAACATTTTTAAAGGAATGAGAAGGAAGAGAAGGCAATGAGGATTGAAAAGGAGGACTGTCGCATCTGGAACAGCGAATTAATCTTTGCGTAACATGCGACGGGCCCATAACGGGCCCAGTTTTCGACTTGTTTTTCCGCGTACTTCCATAGCAGGCGTTAATATTTCAGTGTGTACCAAATTCAAGGGTTAACTGTTCCCCGTCTACGTTGACGGTGTAAATAGACCGAACAATTGAACGATTTCTATTGTGATTAAATAGGAACATGGACGATTCAATGTATGTGTTTCGATGTTCCACGTTTATTCTCGCTTCTATCATAGATACGTTTGGAAAACTTGTTGTATAACGTATCTATGATAGTACAGAATACATAAGTACTATAAATTAGTATTACTCAAGGCCAAGTCTCTGTAGGGTTGTTAACCTACTAAATGATACGGTGAATCGTTGCGGTGGCAGGCGGCTGAGTAGTTTAAAATAATGTATCAGATAAGTATGTAGATGATTCATCTTTGCCATAATGATAGTTCAAATTATTGTATTGAGTGCATGTTATTTATCTCATCGTCACATTGATCCACAATTTTAATTGCAATTTCTATATCTTTATCATGGAAAAGGTTAAGATTTAAGAACACCACATATTGCGGTGACCAATTCAGGAAATTACATAACAGTTGGTTTTTACTGATGACGCGAAAGGCTTTGTCTATGTGAGATTGTTTTTGTTGACTTTATTATGAGATAGGATATACTCTGGCCTCATTATAATAGTCTTGAGCAATCTAACAGTTGTTTTGCCCACGACATTATACTACAAAAACAAACGAAAAAGTTATATTCCCATTTTAATTTTCGTAAGTATTTCATTCCCAATCTGACACTGTAATACAAAGTCGACTGCATCATCGATTTCGGTTCATGGTTTGGGAACTTTCACTTCCTACAATGGTCGGTATACATACATATCGAAGGCTGTAAATATAAAGCACTGTAGTAGTTTTTCCAATGTGTCGAGTGAGGAGGGTAACGCGGGCGACGCAGCATCCCGCCGTCGTCATGGCAACGCGATAAAACCTCGCCTTTTCATAGCCCTCCGTAATAGTAAACGTTAGTTTCAAAGAATTTTCTTCGACGGAAATTGTATGGTTTTTATGTTGAATGCATA